TCATATCTGTGTACATAAAGAATGTTCACACCAATTTATGCCTTTATACATGTATTTTTCCTTGCATTACAATTCTTAATACACATATATACCACAAGTTTTCATATCTCTGTTTGTATATAAAGTATGTTTACAACCAATTCAAGTCTTCATACATGTATTTTTTATAATGATGTCCATCACATTCCACCATCCTTGTGAATCTCTGTCCCCTCCTTCCCCCCCACCCATCTTTCCTATCTAGAATTAATCTAATCCTCCCATGCTCTCTCTCCTTACCCCACTATGAGTCAACCTTCTTATATCAGAGAAAATATTTGGCATTTGTATTTTTGGGATTGGCTAACTTCACTTAGCATTATCTTCTCCAACGCCATTCATGTACCTGCAAATGCCATGATTTTGTTCTTTTTTTTATTAGTTGCTCAAGACAATACAATGATCTTGACATATCATTCATTTGATTCAAATGGGGTATGAATTCTCATTTTTCCACATGTACAGATTGCAGGATCACATTGGTTATACAGCCACATTTATACATACAGCAATACTAGTGTCTGTTGTTCTTTTTTTAATGCTGAGTAAAATTCCATTGTGTATATATGCCACATTTTTTTATCCATTGATAAGTCCAGCAAAACAAAGATAGTTCTCAAAGTAATCATTTTATTATAAAGTGCACAAAAGTATGCTAAGGAAAAATAAACAAAAGGAATGTGAATTAAACTTACCCAAAGACACTATTCCATTAGATTTTTTTCAAGCATGAACTAGATAGACAATATCTTCCCCAGACACGAACATGTAAAATACACACAGGCATGCTTACTGGAGACTTGTAGGAGACCTGAGGCTTATTTTATAAGGTTAATTTGGTCTTTAGATGCGGCAGTCTGGCTGGGCACAAAATAACAGAGCTGCCACACAGCCTTGTAGGTTCAAAACAGGAGTTCCTTTATTCTCTGCACTCCCGTGAATGCCAACCATGCTGCCTTCTCCAGAGACACACCACACACCAACCGGAAATCCCTCCTCCCGAAATCCCTCCTCTGGCACTTCCCCAACCAACTTCGAACTCCCCAGGAATCCTGAGAGAACTCCAAAGTAGCAGGCCACGGGATCTAATATACAATTGAATACACAGATTAACATAACCATCATCATCTCAATGGCTTGCTGGCATCACCTCTCAACCACTCCATTCTGGCAAAAATACCATGACCATCCCAACTTGGCTGTGGCCCTCAACATTTAGAAAACAATTAATTAATCCTGACTTTTGTATCTGACTTAACACTATCATGTCTATTAGGTAAACTTTCTGTGATGTAGGTTTGACCTGGTTAACTATCCACAGCTTAACAAAGAGCCGACTCCTAATTTTATCTGGAGTGAATGATGTTTATAATGTTAATAGAGAGAAAGATCTACATTCTAGAGGTTGTGTGTACAAATGAGGAAGGATCTCCAAATCCTTCTACTAAGAATGTAGTAAGGTACCATCTCAGTTAAATGGTTAAAACTTCCCCACTGTACCATAACTCACTTATATAATGCCCCCAGTGACCATGTGATCACTGAAAGTGTTAATTTACAGTTATCTTTGTTTTCTATCTATAAAAATTGTCACAACCTCCTTTTCTTTGGAACTCTTTATTTAAAGCACTTTAAACCTTTGCTCTGAGGCCTGAGTCCCTCACATTTAGTTCACAATAAAATGTTGTATTATTTTCCTTTAAAGAACAGTGGTCATTTTGCATCAACTGGATGTTAGAGTTTGAAGTTGGCTGAGGAACAAAGCACCAAGCAACTCACCTGGGTCTCCTGACCAATCCTGGATTTCAGCAATCTCCCCAGACCAACCCGATAGGACAAGGGACTCTAAATACCTCCTTTTCCTGTCCCAAGCCCTCCCTTCCTACTCTAAGCCAAATAAAAATTCCAGTCTGGCTGACCCCCATATGCTTCTCCCCAGATACCTTTTTAGTCTGGAGGGTCTCGCCTGGGAGTGAATCTTAATAAAGCCTTGTTCAGCAGCATTTTTAATTTTCGTCCTTTTGGTCGGTGCTGCCTGACCTTATGCTGAAACATGTAAAAACAGGTGAAAATAGGTAAAAGAAAATTACTTGTGCACAAAAGGCTAGCAATGAACAAACAAAATTCATACTTCTACAGAAAGAACTCTATATATGGTCCAGGAGAAAAGTTCCTTCAAGGGTGACAATTGAATGGGTCCTTATTGTTATCAAAACATCAGCAATGAAGTAAGGAATTGTTCCTTCTTGACAGAGCCTCCAGAGCTGATGCCAATTCAGAATGATTAAAGAACATTGTCATAGTGAGGTGTGTCTCAAAATGGGAGTCTGAAGCCATTGTATCTGTAGTCCCAGGTATATTATCTCAATTTCTAGATGTTAATTTGGAGGGAAAGATTCCAGGAGTCAACTATCTCATTTACATATCAGTGCACAGTTATCAACATAGCTATCAATCAGTTGGTTGCCAAAGTGACTATCAGTTACAGCTTGTGTTACAAGAGAAAAATCAAGATGGAGTTAGTACTATCAGAGCATAGCCACATTAACATAATTAAGATACTAATTAACAAATTCTTGAGAACCACAGTATAGTGAAAACACAAATCACAACCCCTCTGTGGATAGATCTTGGAGACTTCCATTTTATAGTCAATCAGTCAATTTTTTTTATGTTTGTAAAAATTCTGAGTTTATTTTAAAGCATCACATCAAGTTTGAATCTCAGTAAACAAAGCCACATCTTCTTATATGTTGATTTTTGCAGAGTACAGACTTGCAAACAACAGATACAACAAAGTAGTGTAAAGTAAAAGATGTTTGTTTTTATAAATAAAGTGGCAT